TATTTGTGATGACGCGGATAATCGTTATTTCTTCCTTTTTACTTCTTAGACTTCGTTGATTTAAACCTACCGAAGACTTGTTTAAATAACCTAAAGGCATCTAATAAATAAGCCAGCAGTTATATATGTTTAGCCTGTTGAGTCAAGGATTGGCGGTGTTGACCAAACAGTTATTGGGCACCTGTTAGACTGTGTGCTGATAATGGACTTTTTTTTTTAAGTAGAGTCCCTACCTTGTTGGAGGTTTCTGTTTTGTGGGGAAGACAGACAAGTAGATAATTTGTGCTATGTTTGAAATAACATGTAAAACCCTTCAAGTTGGAGTGTGTAGAAAAGGCATTTAAGGTTAACTTTTAGTCCATTTTTATTTGAACTATAATTCTGGACATAACTGTCTCAGAATTAAAAGTATATTGCATTTTCTCAATACCTGGCAGTCTGAATTTATTTAATTTTATGTGATATTCTTTGGAATTAGTTTGTGTTATTTAAAGATTTCCGTGTTGTTAAAATTTGCTGTAAATTTTAATGACTCTTGAATCCTATTCCATGTCTTAGAATATAGAAACAGTTTCTTCTAACTGGAGAATGTATTTTGCACCGAGTGTGGGTGTTTGTCTAACTGATTGGCATTTCAATTGACTTCTTTCTGTACCTTAGTTGGTGGCACTATCGTTCTTGTTTTACTGCTACCCCAAACAAAAACCTGAGAGTCTTGACCTCTTTCTCGGTAGTCCTGATGTCTGAAAAATTTGGCATTTTTATCTGCCTTATGGAAGTATCTCTCTCTGTTGAATTCTCTTTGATTTTTGAACTTAAATAGTGTGGGTTTGTATACTGAAGGGTAGGTACCAGTAGGTAGAAAGATTTCTGATAGTAAAGGATTCATCAGGAAATAATTCCAGTCTATTTGGTTTCCAGGCTCGGATTATTATGTCTGTTTCTCCTGCCCCCGTACCATTCTAGTTGCCACCACTGAACTGTTTAGGCTCTGTTTTTCACCCCTGGTGTTTGTTTTTTTTTTCCCCAAGAAGTAATAACCTCTTGAGGTAAATATTTCATGCTATGAAATATAGTATGAAATATAGTTTATACAAAAATGTATAAACCTGTGTAACCCAAACCCCTGTTAAGATATAGAACGTTACCAAAGCCTTAGTTTTCGCAAGCCCTTCCCCGTCAATTTTTGGCCCTATACCTACAGAGGCAACCAGTTCTTCCACCATAGCTTAGTTTTGCTTGTACTAGAATTTCCTATATTTGGAGTCATGGAATATGTATTCTTGTTGTGTAAAATTTGTTTTACTCAGCATATTTTTAAGATTCATCTACATTAGGCTTGTATACGAAATTTGTTTCTTTTTATTAGTGAATAGTAGTCCATTGTATGTTTAAAAGTTACGTATTTAAAACTGTTTTGAACTTTATTGTGCAAGTCCCACACCTGCTTTGGGTAATTAGGAGTATTGTTGGTGGATCATGGCATTGATACACGTTTAGTTTTGTAAGAAACTGCCAGACCACTTTGAATAGTGGTTGTACCATTTTACACTCCAACCAGCAGTAGCTCAGAATTCCAGTTGCTCCATACCCTCATCAGCACTTGTTGGTTTAATTTTAGCCCATTTTAGTGACTATGTAGTAGTGTCCTGTTATGGCTTCGGTTTTCATTCTCCTAATGACTACTGATGGTGAGCACTTTTTCATTTATTTATTGGCCATTCACATGTAGCTGTGAAGAGTTTGATTTTTCTTGTGTTCTTTTAATTATAGGAATTCTTTATATATTATGCATACTAGTCCTCCTTTGTCAGATATAATTTTTCTCTAATGGCTTGTTTGTTCATTTCCTTAATGTCTTTGGTGACCAGAAATTATTTTGAGGAAGTCTTAACTTACCATCTTTTTCTTTTGAGGTGGTTATTCTCGATGCTGTCAAAGGAACTTTTGTCTAATCTCAAACCATGAAGTTATTCTGTTTGCTCTAAAAGCTTTATAATTTTAACTTTTAGGTTTAGGTTTAGATTGTGATCTACCTTCGATTAATATTGGTAAGTGGAGTAAGCTGGCAGCCCAGTTTCATTTTTTTTTAAATAGGGATTTCCAGTTACTCCATATTATTGAATATAAATCCCTATTGTTTCAACAAATTTCATCATTTGTTGAAAGGCATTTTCTTTGCCCATCAGACTGCTTTAGCAGTATAGAAGGTACATTTCTATAGTTTACAAAATAGAATATATAAATGTGGGTCTATTTCTGGACTCTATTGTGTTTCATTGATCAGTTTGTTGTTCCTGTGTCCTGACTACTGTAACTTTAATCTATATACTGCTTAGCCACCTGATTTGTCTTTCAGTGTAAATGTAACCGAGGCATTCCACTTAATTGATGAAAACCCTTCAGTTTTTAGTTCAGGGAATTCTTTGAAGGAGCTTGGGCTCTCCATGAAAAGAACCTTCCTAACTTCCCTATTCATTTTCTTGGACCTATATTCCATCAGTAGTACCTGGAATTTCTCAGTGTTGTGCTATTTCTTATTACCATATCTTTGCTCTTTTTGCTGCATATTTCCAACTTTTTAGACACCTTAGTATAAATCTATGATTTGATGCCCTTCTCCCCATGCTACATTATTTGCCTCGTAAAAATCTGTGCATATCTCCATTGATTTTCTAACTTAGTTACTTTTTTTAAAAAATCTTTTGTGTCCTTTCTACTGGAATTTGAGCTCATAGGTGGCCTAGTTTTACTTTCAAAAATGATTTGAAAGAATTTTTATGAAAGTAAAAATTATTGAGTGGGTCAGTTAAAATAAAAGTTGTATTTTTTTTTAACCCCAAAACTTGATAATGGGAGTAAACTAGTAGGTGAAAATTCTAGGCTAATATAGTTATAAGTGACTATTAAATTTAGAGCTCAGTTAAAGAATTCTTGTCTGGTGAAATAAAGTATTAGCAATTCATTGAGAGACTTCTTGACAGCAAACAAAAAAGAAGGGAGAGGATTCAACACATCAGTCTTTATATGAGGACATATGAACTGTTTAAAGTTTGGGCCCTGGCAAGATTAGATCAGTTTCTTAGAGCATAGTTCCAGTATGCCAAGATTGTGAGTTTGATCACCTGTCAGGGCACATTCAAGAATCAACCAATGAATACATAAGTAAGTGGAATAACAAATCAATATTTTTTTTTCCTCTCACCTCCTTCCTCTCTTCTAAAATCAACTTAAAAGGAAAAAAAAGTTTAGGACTTGATGTATCCCAAACCAATTATTTCCCCTTTTTTGATGGCTGACTATACTGCTAAAAAAGTGGTATTTTAAGGATGCCTTCCCTTTAATTGAAAAAGTCAGCCAACTATTATTCAGTGCCTTTTACAATCCAAGATTAGCTTAAAGATCATAAACCTTATCCTCAGCAGCAGTCTAATAGAGGAGGAAAATAGGTAATCCTACCTGTACAAGAAATTGAGAATGTGAACTACGTATTAGATCATATTGTGGAATTATTGTCCATTTTTCTAGATTGTGGTATTATGGTTATGTGGAAGAATGTCCTCATTAGAAAATGCATGAAGTGTCTGCAATTTATTTTTAGATGATTTGGTGAAAGTGTAAGTTTTGTGTATAAAAGGGGCACGCACACAAATGGCAACATTTCAATAATTTGTCAACCCTTCAACTTTTCTTCCTCTGCAATATTTCATAATAAAAATTAGGGGGAAACAAAAGGCTAGATGAAGTGTACTAAATACAAAACTAAATGAAAACAATCTTAGGATGGGAAATGTCTCCCTAAACATACCTAAGAAGGATTCACAAATTTAATAATATAAAATAGGGGGAAAATTGTATGACTAAAGAAAACCACAAACTTGAATGGCTGTAGCAAACTGGTAGAAAATAAAATAAAAATTTAATCTAATTGAAAATGTGTGAATCATGTGACTAGGTAATTCACAAAAGAAATACAGGTTTCCCCTATTTATGAAAATATATTCAACTTCACAACTAATAGGAAAAAAGCAGTGGGTAGGGCAGGGGAGAGTAATGGGGACAACTGTAACTAAACAACAATAAAATAAATAAAATAACTTTTTAAAAGGCAGGTTGACTTTTTTTCCTATTTGACAAAATTTAGAAGATTGGTAACAGTGTTTGTAACAATTTGCAAAAATGGATTTGTGATAATATATAATGGAAATGTCTCTAATATAATCTGCTAAATGAGAACTACAAATTAGAGGCGTTATTAGAGTTTTACCCAATTATGTAAAAAAACTTTATGTATATACTTATAAATGCATATAAAATGGTCTAGAAGAATATCCTTATGAACAAGGAGGGGGTTAGAAAGGTAAACTTCTACTTTATCATTTATTGTGTAAAAATAATTACTGTAATCTTTTACTACCAATTACAACTTATTTTTTATTCACTGAGACACAATTTACATACAGCGTTATAAGTTTAAGATGTATAACATAGTGACTTGACTTACATATATTTCAAAATGATTGCCACGGTAAGTTTAGTTAACAACCATCATCTTCATATAGATACCAAAAAAATAAAAAAAGATTTCTTTCCTGTGATGTGAACTTTTAAGATCTACTCTCTTAGCAACTTACTAATACACTACACAGCAGTGTTGACTATATTCAGTATATAATTGGGAGTTTGTACCTTTTGACCATCTTCATGTCATTTCTTGATTTCAATTTAATGGCTTATATGACTTTAAGATTTGTATGTATGGATGCTGTACAATGGTTTTGAAAATCAGAAATGTCGAAATGACTATTGTTATGCTCCTTCACAAATGTTAAGGTTTTAATTCAGGGAAACTTGAAATTGTTATGCAGACTATTAACAGGAATTGATGCAGATAACTAAGCAGATCTTCAACAATGAGAAATTTTACCTTTTGACTTAATAAACATGACTTTAAAGTTTTAAAGGTAAAAGTTATCATTTTATTCTTGCTGTCTTTATAGATTTTTGATGAAATTGAGTCACGAAACTGTAACCATCGAATTAAAGAATGGAACACAGGTCCATGGAACAATCACAGGTATGGAGGTTGGGCTGCTTATTTTCCACCTATCTCTTCTACCTACAGGCCAGAATTCTGTTTTGGTTCCTTAATGAATATTCTTGTAATAGGAATCTCATTCTTTTTGTCTGGATTATTTCACTGACTTACTTTCTTTAGCCTCACCTTAAGTACTTGTGCTAATACCAAACTGGGTTCCCCAGATTAGTCTATTATGTGACCCATTTCTTGCTTTTATGTCTTTCATGCTTTTGTGTCTGTGTGCCTGGAATGTTGCAACTCCCCAAATACATGTTATTTCTTTCATTAGAATTTTGTGTCCCTTGTTAGATTATAAAGACTTTGAAGATAGAGGATGGACTTCCATGTTTGGTTATCTTAGGTAAGAATATATGTGGGAGGTGAAGAGGGGGCAGTAAGGAACTATAAAACGCATAGATCTCTTCTGGTCAAGATGGCGGCATAGGCAGATGTGGCTCACCTCTTCACACCACATCAAAATTACAACTAAAGCATAGAACAACCGTCGCTCAGGAACATCAGAAATCAAGCTGAATGGAAGTCTTGACAACGATGGGATTAAAGAAACCACATCCATCCAGACTGGTAGGAGGGGCACAGATGCAGAACAAGCTGGTCCCACACCCACGTGCGATGGATAAAAATTCAGGAGGGATATCTTGGGAGCAAGGAGTCGCAAACACATACCAGGCCCCCAGCCCAGTGTGCCAGTGCCAGGAAGAGAAGTCCCCACAACTTCTGGCTGTAAAAACCAAAGGGAATTGAGTCCAAGGGAGACACTGCTGGAGCCCTAAGCAGTTCCTCTTAAAGAACCCACACACGGAGTCACTCACTCAGACTGACTCTGAGCTCCAACACCAGAGTAGTAGCAGCTTGAAAGGCACCAGTGGTATATGGAGAGAAACTGAAGTGTCTGCCATCAAGATGAGCAGAGGTCATTATCCCTGTTGTATATCCTCCTCACTCAGGGCCTATAAATTGCTGCCATATCTGAGACTCCAGCAACCTAGCGAACACTGTTTGACCCACTGTGGAGATCCCCGGAGGCTCTGTCCCACCAAAGCTGCCTTTCCATAGGATCTTGGTTCCTAAATCCTATCAAACAAGCAATAGCTGGCTTCAGTGAGCCCTAGCAGGAGCCAGCCTAGATTGACAGCTTGGCTTCAGCTGGTCATCTCCAAGCCCAGCAAGTAACAGCTATCCCACATTGCTTTACAACTCAGGCAGGGTGCCATGAGCAAAACACAGGTGGGGGCTGACCTTGGATTGTACCACCTGGGAAACCCCAGGGCTAATGCACAGCTACAGACCACTTCTGAGCACCACCACCCTGCTCTTACACAGCTGACCCTCCATGGATGGGGTGGAGATTAATGGTCAGTGGTCACAGCCAGTCCTTGCAGCTGACTGGTCAAGGTAAATCCCTCGCATTGATCTGCCAACAGCAACCAATGCTCAACTACAAGAGGAAGGTATACCTCAAGTACCCAGCTTGGGTAATGGGGGAGGCTGTCCCACTGGACTCTACAGGACACCTACTACATTAGGCCACAGTACCAAGACACAGAGTCAAAGCACCTCTTTGTAATAGAAACAAACACAAGGAGGCTGGCAAAATGAAGTTACTACAAAACATGGCCCAAATGAAAGAACAGATCAAAACTCCAGAAAAAGAACTAAACAAAACGAAGATAAACTATGAGATGCAGAGTTCAAAACACTGGTTATAAGGATGCTCAAGGAACTTAGTAAGGACTTCAGCAGTATAAAAAAGATCCAATCAGAAATGAAGGATACACTAATGAAATAACAATTTACAGGGAAACCACAGTAGAGTGAATAAAGTCAAGAATCAAATCAGTGATTTGGAACATAAGGAAGTAGAAAATAGCCAATCAGAACAACAGGAAGAAAAAGGATCCCCCCCGCCACCCCTCCCCTGCCGCTGCCAATGAGGGTAGTATAAGCTGTGTCTGGGACAATTCAAGCATTCCAACATTTGCATCGTAGGGGTGCCAGAAGGAAACATGAAAGAGCAAGAAATTGGAACTCTATCTGAAAAAAATAGTGCAAGACGACTTCCCTAAAATGGTCAAGGAAATAGACATGCAAGTCCAGGAGGCACGATTATGATGGTTGCAAAGAGGCCCACTCCAAGACACATCATAATTAAAAGGCCAAAGGTTAAAGAGAGTGACTTTTTTTTAACATCTCATCTGAGGCTGACCTTTTTTTAAAGATATTTTGTTGATTATGCTATTACAGTTGTCCTTTTTTTCCCCTTTATTACCCTCTACCTTGTATCCCCACTCCCAGGAGGAACCGCGCCCCCCCCCCCATTAGTTATATTCATGGGTCCTGCCTATAAGTCTTTTGGTTTCTCCATTTCCTATACTATTCTTAACCTCTCTCTATTGCGTACCTACTATTTGTGCTTATTCCCTGTACCTTTTCCCCCATTCTTCCTCCCCTCCTCTCTGATCACTATTTCTGTGATTCTGTTTCTGTTCTACTTGTTTGCTTTTTTTTTTTTTTTTTTTAGGTTCAGTTGATGATAGTTGTGAGTTTGTTGTCATTTTACTGTTCATAGTTTTGATTTTCTTTTTCTAAGTCTCTTTAACATTTCATATCATAGGGGCTTGATATGATATGAACAACTCCTTTTCATAAAGGTAATGATTAACTCCTTTAACTTGACCTTACCTGGGAAGCACTTTATCAGCCCTTCCATTCTAAATGATAGCTTTGCTGCATAGAGTAATCTTGGTTGTAGGTCCTTGCCTTTCATGACTTTGAATACTACTTTCCAGCCCCCTCTTGCCTGTAAGATTTCTTTTGAGAAATCAGCTGATAATTTTACGGGCACTCTTTTGTAGGTAACTCTTTCTCTTGCTGCTTTTAAGATTCTCTCCTTATCTATAACCTTGGGTAATGTAATTATGATGCACCTTGGTGTGTGCTTCCTTGGGTCCAGCTTCTTTGGGATTCTCTGAGTGTCATGGACTTGATGGAAGTCTTTTCCCTTTGCCGTATTGGGGGAGTTCTCCATTACTTTTTCAAATAAGTTTTCAATTTTTTGCTCTTCCTCTTCTTCTGGTACCCCTATAACTCAGATGTTAGAAGGTTTAAAGTTGTCCCGGAGGTTTCTACGCCTGTCCTCACTTTTTTGTATTCTTGTTTCTTCTGTTCTTGTTGAATATTTATTTCTTCCTTCTGCTCCAGATCATTGATTTGAGACTTAGTTTCCCTCCCTTCACTGTTGGTTTCTTGTATATTTTCCTTTATTTCGCTTTGTATAACCTTCACTTTTTCCTCTATTTTGCAACAGTACTCAACCATTTCTGTGAGCATCCTGATTACCAATGTTTTGAACTCTGCATCTGATAGGTTGGCTATCTCTTTGTGACTTAGTTGTATTTTTCTGGAGCTTTGATCTGTTCTTTAATTTGGGCCATATTTTTATCTTGGTGCACCTGTTATGTTGGAGAGGTATTCACCTTAGGTATTCACCAGGGCAGAGCAACCCAGGTCACTATGTTGTGGTACTGGGGTCAGAGAGGGAACAATGCTGTTTGCTCAGCTCTCCAGCAGCTTTCAGTCACTTCCACCACTACCCACAAGCAAATTGGCCCTTTCTGGAGCTAATTCCCGGGTGGGTGAGTTTGTGTATGTTCTGGGACCTTGTGGGTCTCTCCAGCGGACTCTGCTGTTTGTCTGGAAGCTTCTCCCACTGTCATAACCCCCATAGGTTCTCACAGCCAGAGGTGTTGAGGCTTTCTTTTCCCGAGCTGGTACCATGGGTTGCATGTGTGTCATGCTCTCCAGTTGTTCCTCCTCGTTTATCCACATGCAGATGTAGCGCTACCTTGCCTCACGTTCTCTCCTCTCCGACCAGGCTTCCCTCCTACTGGTCTGGGTGAATGTTTCTTCTTTAACTCCTTGATTGTCGGACTACCATACAGTTCGATTTTCTGGCAGTTCTGGTTGGTTTTTTTATTTGTTTGTTTTTAAATTTGTTGTTCCTCTTTTTGGTTGCTGCAGGAGGCAAAGTGTATCTATCTGTGCCTCCATCTTGGCTGGAACTGAATCAAGAGAGACTCTTAAAAGCAAGAGAAAAAAAGAAGTTAGTTACCAGGTGGTTGCCAGATGAGAGGGGGAAGGAGGAAAATGGGTGAACAGGTGAGGGGATTAAGACGTACAAATAGGAAGTTACAGAATAGCCATGTTGATGTAAAGTACAGTATAGGAAATGGAGCAGCCAAAAAACTTATACACATGACCTGTGGACCTGAACAGTGGTGGGGGGATTGCCTGAGGGGGGAGGGTAAAGGGGAGAAATTAAGGATAATTGTACTAGCAGAATGAATAAAATACAATTTTTAAAAAAATGCATAGATTGAGCATCTTGAGTAAACCAAGAAAATGTACTGGATTAAATTGATATTAATTGTGAGTATAGTAGATCTTCACAAGACCAGTTGCTTTGAAAGGAAATCAGTACAATGTAGGATTTTGTTTGCTTTCTCCTGGGGTCTGTTTTTTAGGAACTCAGAATCTAGTGATGGAGACCACACTCAAAAACATAATGTAATGCAAAGTTTGCCTAACATATAGTAGGTACTTAATAAGTGATGTTGGGAGGGGGGGAGTTAAAGTGAGTTGGGAAAGCAAAAGATGTAATTACGTCTTCCACTGACCACCATCATTACAAGCTTTTTGTATCCTTTATGAATATGTATTTTAGTTTTCATAGTAAGGATAATCATACTGTCTACCTGTTGGGATTTTGAGGATTAAATTAAAATGTCTTAGCATGCAGTTCCTCGAACACAGAAAGAGCTTATAATTTTTTTTTTCATGTTGATAGATCAAGGTCCCCAAGGAGATGGAATGTATCAAAAGTATGTTAATTTTGGGAAAAGAGAGAATCTTCTATGACGGGAGTAAAGGGAGGAAAATATTAGTAATAATTAGTAAATTTGAGATGGATATTGGGAAAGTTGAGAGAATGTATGGTTTTGGGTCTTAACTCTATACGACAGAAATTTACTAGCTCTTCAGTTATCCTGTTTGTTCAGATGTATTGATAAGGGCTCCGAGAATTGAGTATTCCTGTTGTCCTAAAAAACTTTGCTTTTTATTTTCTAAAATCTCATACTAAAAATGACTAATGGGAAAAAAAGTTTGAGGAATGCCACTCAAAACCTGTGCAACTTTAGTAATCAAAGTGGTAACAAAAAACAGTAATGCTCATTTTAAAAAAACACTTAAAAAGACATACTAAGTTTCTGTAATAAGAAAAAAATAGTACTGTGCATATAGGACTTTATTCTTAAAGCAAAAATGAAGATAGCTTGGTGGAACAGGATATAAGGAAGTTATGGAAACAGTGGGAGAACTGTGCAGTAAGCATTGCCTGAGGGTCGAGGACACATGGGGACAGTGAGAATAGACGTGTGTACCAGGTTCTCCATTGCTTACTGCATTTGCTTCTGTAAGCAGTTCTAACATGGTAGTGAACATCTCTGTAAAGGAAAGACTTCTGATTTGTACTAACAGTATCTCCCATTTACCAGTGGACATAATCATGTTGTAGATACTTGCACTGTAGCAGAAAAGTACTTTGTAATATGGTGTACACTGTGACTTGATATATTAATTGGTTGTCTTCCTTATGGTGCTAATAATCGCTCTTTTTTTTTTTTCCTTCTAGGTGTAGATGTCAGCATGAATACTCATCTTAAAGCTGTGAAAATGACCCTGAAGAACCGAGAACCTGTACAGCTGGAAACGCTGAGTATTCGAGGAAATAACATTCGATATTTTATTCTACCTGACAGCTTACCTCTGGATACACTACTTGTGGATGTTGAACCAAAGGTGAAATCTAAGAAAAGGGAAGCTGGTAAGTTTGAAGGATTATAAATGTTTTTTTCAATGTACTTATACTCTAATCCACTATTCAAGCTATAAACATTTGCAAACAACTCAGGGTTTTTTGTTTTTGTTTTTAATTGTCTATTTGCCATGAATGTATATAGTATTATTATTACTGGTGGTATCATTAAAAACATGGATGCTCTTCTTGTACATTTGTTCATGGCCATGTCTCCCATGTTATACGTAGTTTGGATGATTTGGAGATGGGCTCTTTTATTCCTGGTATTCTGAAATTTCTTTATGACTTGGTGTAAGATCTTTGCTTGTCCTCCATTTTTTTCCTTCATTTTGTTTGGGTATTTGGTGGGCCATTTCAGTACGGATATTTTTTCTTATTTTTCTCTTTGTTCTTGAGAAATTTCCTTGACTTTATTTTCCGGTATATTTAATTTTCAAACCTCCTTGTTCTATGATAACTTTTTAGAGAATTCTGTTGTTTTAGGGATGTGTTTTTAAGTTGTTTTCGGTATTCGGCATTATTTATTTTCTCTTTTCATTTGATCTTTTTGTGGTCTTTACAATAAAGGCCTTACTTAAGTATCTTGCTCTTTGGCCATCTGTTACTTGACAAGGACCCAAAAAGAGAAGTTCTGAGAAGGTGGCTAGACTCCTCAGCTGGTGGGTATCATTGAAGGATGGTTCAGGAGTTGGCCTCTTCACTGAAGACACCCAGATTTCAATATATGGAGGTCTTTTCTGGAGCTGTTTTTTTCACAAAAAGATTCCAGTCACCTGCCATACCTGACAGCATTATAAAAACAGGAAGGAGAAAGGGACTGGGTGTTTTGTAGACAGTCACTTAATGTAATGATTTCCAGACTTTCCTTCCACTCAAACTAAAAAATGTGCCTTACATCATAACCCACTTATACATATTATTAAAACAAAAGTTTCAGGAACAGTAATTAGCCTTAATACATGCAAATGCCCTTAAGTTTTCTAACGTATTGTCTTTGAGTTAAGAAAAATTTCAGATTACAACCTATAACTTAAACACTGACTTAATACCCCTCTCCCTTCCTGTCAGCTCTGTGCCTCTTGCTGCCATTTACCTTGCAAGTGTCTTCAAATACGAAGCCTTTCGTTTCGGTGTCTTCAGGTTCATTTCATCTATTTTTTCCTACCTCCCTGTTAGGAAAATAATCAGTTTTTCAAGGTGGGGAAGAGGACTTAGACAGTCGACTGCTCCACATGGAATTGTCAACCTTTTTTTTTTTTTCCTATTTTCAGCCCAGTGTTCTCATCTTACCCTTGGTTCATAACGTCCTAGGTCTCTTGGAAGTTATTCTTCCTTTATTGAACATTTGCTGTTCTTAGACTACTGTCTAACTTTAAAAAGTTGATGAAACCTTTCAACCACTGTATTTTTCTCTGCTTTCTTTTTGTCTTTTTTTTGTCTTTATAGGTATATACCATTGTTATTCCTTTTCTATCATGAACAGTGTTTCAGAAGGAATTAAAGGTGTCTGCTTAATCTGCCTTGTTTTAACAGAAGCCCTAGACCTCTTTGTATTTCTTTGAATAGTAAAACTGAAAATAATAGGTATAAATTTAGAGTGTGACTGACTTGACTCCATGTCAGGATTTTACAACATTTATAGCTGTCCAAGGTGAAATTAAATTCATCTGGACATCAGTTTTCTGTCACTGATACTCAAGTAGAGTTAGGATGACCAGGTGACACAGAGATAATGCTATATGGATTAAAGTACTAGGTTATGCTTGTATCAAATAATTTAAGATTATGAACAGCTATGAGGTTGTTGCTTGATATAATACATTTTTAAATTTGGCTTTGAACTAACTTGCTTGGATTCTAATCAGTAACAAAACATCTGGCACATGGTGGTCATGTTCTGTTCCACTGATTTGGTATCTCTTCCGTCTTTGCGAGATTTGGGTACCAATTTGCATTTCATTTTGTTGTGAATTTGAGGCATGATACAAAGAAAAATACTTTGAAACTGGATGAATTTCTTAGTAAATATATTAAGACAAACAAATATAATAAAGTGCCTTTGTAGGCCAGCAGTTCTTGGTTCTGCATGGTAATCTGTCAAGAGGGTGACTATGAGGTTACATTTGAGAGGAGCCAAGTTTTCTAAACTATAGATACTGTTTGAGGTGGCCAGGCAACATCAGTACAGAAGAGAATTTACCTTGCTTTATTTTTCTCTTTCCTCAGTTGCAGGAAGAGGCCGGGGCCGAGGAAGAGGAAGAGGACGTGGCCGGGGCAGAGGAAGAGGGGGTCCTAGGCGATAATGCCTCTCAAGATTACTGTTTCAAAGTGCTGTGTCCATTGAGATATTATTTGTAAAGGTTTTGTCTTTTTATGTCAGTTTTTAATAAACATAAATGTAGGCCAGCTGTCTATTGACTACATCAAGTTTAGTTTTAATAATTCATGTATATTTGTGACATTAACACAGTAATAGCTGAATATTACTACATGGCCATCCCAGAATAATTATTTTGTTTGTTTTACTTTTTCACTCCATGAAACCTAACAGGTGAAGTGGGTTTTGTTACTTAAGAAGCTGAAGTCCTGTGGAGTGGGGTCTAAAATTGATCCTCCTTTCCTGAGTTTTTCTCCATGGAGACTTGGGTACTTAGTAAAAGGTGATAGTCATCTTCATTGGTTTTGTTGTGATGAATTTTTTTGGTTTTAATTTTTTTTCTACAGTTTCTCAATAGTATATAGTTTTACATTCTTCTGCATTGAAACTTCAGATGATGTTCACTAGGTTGAAATGTGTTAATGTGGAATATACCTGTCAGTGGCTCCTTTATCAAGTACTTTTACAAGAAGTCCTTTAAGAACAAAAGGAAAAAGACCTTTTTCATGTGATGGCAAAACTGGATTCATTCCAGTAGTTAAGGATTTTTTTTAATTGTTTCAATTAAGCTTAGAGAAAAATACTTCTCAGTTTATACAGTTCCTTGTAAAGCTTACTACCATTTGTTTATATGCTAAGGGAAAAAAACTTTGAGGATTGGGAGGAATTACATCTGTATTTTGACTTAATGATGCTTGTGGAGTTTTGTTTTTTAAATGCGGAAATTTCCTGCAAAGACTAAAAAAGTTTTAGGCCCTGCAAATTGAGAGATAGCAAGAGCATTTGTGTGTGGTATGTGAATGTGCATTTCAGTCTCTTCCACCCACTAATGTTGGTGTTCCTATTATTTGAACTTAAGCAGAAGACAAGCGAGCCCTATGAAGCAGCAAGGTTGAGAGGAGATTTAAAGTGAACAAACAGAAAAGACCTGTCACAGGTGAACGAACATAAATTGACTCCTGCCCTCATGGACCTTGTAGGCTAAAAGGGAAACAAAATTAAATAAACACTGATAAATCACTGCAAATTGTGGCAACTCTGGTAAAGAGTACTTCATGTTATCTGTTTTAAAAGCAGTGTACATAGGCTTCTCATGATTTTAAGTCGTGCGCCAACATAACAGCAAATGTATTTCATTAATTTGTGATTTTTAACGTGTAGATGTTTGCAGCATGACACCGGTCTAGTAACATAGTTTAAATGTAAGATTAAACCATAGTGGTTACTAGATAGAGTTTATTCCACTAGAGACTACTATTTCATTTTTATGTGAAAAATTTTATGAAGAAAAAGTTGTTTGAATTGATTGCCATTATTAGCTATAAAGGAAGCACTGCAGTATGAGTAGAAAATAAACCAACATGCTTCTCTTGCCTCACTTCCCCCCAAAAAAGTATGTAAGGATCTTAGTCCTGCTGCATTTTGTACACATCTGATAATCTTTTAAAGCTTAAGATTTTGTGGAGTTCAGTTTTCCTAAAGAAACTTATGCATTTGGGTAGAAAACCATAAGTGAAATAGGAAATCAGATTTCTATTATAATTATGTTCATTATGCAAGGATTGCTTAGTATTTTGAAATGTATTAATGTAGTCAGCAAACAAAATTTATACGATTATACTGTTGAAATGACATTTTATAAGATACAGCACTTATTTCTGAAAACCTAAACTGGAAGATATTTCCTTAACATGATGAAAAAAATCCATCTTAAACCAATAGCAGACATTTTCTAGAGACATACAATTAAAACAGCCAAAAAATATGTCTGATATTGGTCTTTATTATTTAAAGTGAAAATTCTTGTGGTTCCAAAAAATTAAGGGGCATACTTTCGAAAAGGAAGGGAAATTTACTGTTACCATGTAGGAACATGGTAGTGTTACATTTTGCTGAACCAGCTTTTTCTCAGTAAAGCATTAAAGTGTATATTTTAAATTTTGGGTAAGGTCAGTATACATATGAGATTCAATTTAGAAAAGAATAACAAAGGCTCTAGATGTCAAATGCAGTGGATTTTAGTTATTCACGGTAGTTACGTTCTATAAAGTTGCCGCAAACCATGAATTAGTGAATACTGAACCAGTGTTCCTAGGGAAAACACAGGGTTAGATTCCTATGAGTCTCTGGTCACATTTTCATCAACTGATCAATACAAAACCTTGTTTTATGTGATTCTGTTTAGACCTAATTTAATATATATAGTTTACATTGAATTCATGACCAACAGCACTGTAACTTGTGCCCAAATGAAGCTTTTCTAACACATGTATTTTCTCCAAAAGGCACATGACCATCTTGTGCATGTTTAAACACTGTGCTTATGGGCCATTTTTTGAAAATCACAAACAAAAGAAAAATGACAAATATTTAAAATGTGGTGCTAAATAGACCATTAAAAGAACATTTGTTTACAGTATGAGAGCTGAACAAGACAGAATTTCTTCAGTCTCAGCTGGGAACATGCATATCAGGTGACAGACTTTGCTGCTCTGTGTATGCATGACCATGAAGGCACCAATGAGTATTGATTTTGGAGTTACAAATTTTAGCAAGTAGCTGACTTCCCACATATGGACTCCCAGGATAATGAGGATTGATTATACCTATCATTTTGGTAAAATTATACCAAAGTATTTTATATACTTTGTTAACTATAGTGAAGGGGTACTAAGGTGGATTTCTTATATATGTTTTAGTGTCTTTGAAATGAAGATGCACCATAAAGGGAATAAATTTAGATCATATATCAAATCAAGTTTCTTTGTTAATACATAAAATGAGTGCATCTAAAAATTGATGTCTTAGATTTGATGAACTGCTATTATAGTGTCATTAGCTGTTAAGTAGAGCCACATAATTATAGCTATTTTTAACTAAAAGTTAATAGGGTCCTGGCCAGGTGGCTCAGTTGAAGCATTGTCCCTACACCAAAATGTTCAATTCCAGGTGAGGGCACACCTAAGTTGTGGGTTTGATCTCCAGTCAAGGCGTGTGCAGGAGGCAACCAGTGTTCCTGCCTTCCTCTCTAAAATCAATAAAAAACATACTTGGATGAGGATTTAAAAAGATAATGTGCATTGTGAATCTGCAAGAAGAAAGGATTTTCATGTTTTCTAGATCTTTGTAATTTTTTCCTCATTAAGCATTTATGGAACCATGGCAAAGTTAGGTCTGGCTTTTAAAAAAATTCTTGAGTCAAAGTCAATAACTCTACTATATTCTGGGGTGGGAAGACTTAAATAATGTAGATCAATGACTGTGCTGCCAGAATTTTTTAAATAATGCAATACCTGAGTTTAGTCAGGGGCACTGATCTCTTTTCCCTTAGACTGTCAAAAAATGACAATAGCCAACACATCAATGGTCATCTGGTATGAATGAACCCAAATTATACCTGTTTATATGTGCCATGAGAAGAAAAAGGTTGAAAACTGCTGGTAGATAAATGAATTCTCCCAATTGATAGGTTTAACAGCATTATCCTGATGAATTTTTTAGTAATTTCTTGAGTTTAATGCTTATTCCATGCCAGGTTTTTCTCATAGGTGGACTTGCCAGAAAGATTTTTTTAGTTGACAATATTAACTACTCTTGTAATTTGACAAACATTGGTTGGAGTGTTTATTTTACTCTGTGCCAGGGTCTCTAAGCCCTTTATGTGTTATATCTTTTAACCCTCAGAACACTTCTGTGTAGCAGATGGTGTTTTCAGAAAGAAAATTTGCCCAGAGAGGTTAGATAACTGCCAAAGTCCCAGTTTTTAATCAGCAGACCTAGAATTTAGAGGCAAGTCTATATCCAAGAACCCTGTGTCCTTAAACTGTATATTGACTTTGCTGTTCATTCTGAAGAATGAAGAGCCTGTAGGAGATTCTTCATTTCTTTTTTTTTTAGGACAGAAAAAAGTGGGAGAACTTACCTTATGAGATAACAAACATTATGAGATATTAAAAGCAGAGAAATTATACTCTTCCAGTTTTCATTTCATTTTTGTATCAAGTAATTTTTAAATAGTGTTTGTTGCTATGTAGGTAGACAGTTTGGAGTAGGCTGATGGAAAGATGAATTTAAAAACATTAAGCAAGTTGTCAGGGTATCTCAAAAGCCTTAACTTTTTTTTTTTTTTTTCTGTTCTTTGATTCAGGATTTCATTTGAGACTTCACGGGGGGGAAATTGAGTCATAAAGAAGTTCACCTTTTTATTTTAAATGTATTTTTTAAATTTTTAAACCATTTTTATTGTACATTTTCCTGTATTGAGATTTCTATTTAATCTCATACTCCCTAGCAATCACCACACTTGTCCGTGAGTCCTTTTTCCCTTTTGCTCAATTCCTCTATCCCCTAACCCCCCAATAAACACACAGCTGTCCCAAAACACTAAAAGGATATGAGCACCCCTATGTTCATTGCAGCAGTATTCATAATTGTCAAGATAATGGAAGCAGCCCAAGTGTTTTACCAGTAGGTGAGTGGGTACCAAGCCACTGTAGGACATACACACAATGGAATATACTCAAATATATGTATGGACCTGGAGAACATGCTAAAGTGAAATAAGCCAGTCAGAGAAATACCATATGAGTTAATTCATATGTGGAATCTAATGAACATTTCTTGGTGAAAAGAAAAACCATCCTGTGTGAGGAATGGTTAGGTAAATTACGGAGTAGACTAGAAGTCACCAAGCTCACTGTGGGTCAGACAGTATTTTAGATGTAGGCCAGTGATTCTCAACCAGTGTGCCCCAAGAATTTTTAAAGCATGCCATAACCTGACTAGTCAGGGGCACTGACCTCATTTCCCTTAAATTATTTTAAGCCAACGAAATAGCCATCCTGTGTGAGTCAGAGATGTACCTATTTTGTCAGATCAGCAGAAAATACATTTTAGTATGCCACAGTTTCAGTAATTCATGTGTGCAATGAGATGAAAAAGGTTGAAAATTGCTATTGTAGACCATGTGGTGTCTAAGCTCTTGCTTAAATCAGCTGTAGACAATGGGTAAACCAATGGTCATGGCTGTGTTTCAGCAAAACTACTAAAATGGGCAAAAGGCTAGATTTGGCTTACAGACCGTATTTTGCAAGCCACTGAGATAACACTATAATGCCATTGTAAAGAAAAAAAGTTGTTTGGAAGCCAACTGGGAAAAGATAGTTGCATAGCATAAGACAAAGGATCAATATCCACAATATTTGATATAGTGGATATATTTGGATACCTCATTTTTTTGTGCTTTTTGTTGCACTTGACAGATGGTATGTTTTTTACAAATTGAAAGCAAGACCCTCCACTGACAAAAGGATTACAGCTGACTTTATTGTGGTGGTCTAGAACCAAACCTGCAATATCTGTAAGGTATAGTTCTTTAAATTATTAAGAGAGCCAATAGAAGTAAGACCATCAACTTATATCAGAATAAACTCAAAGTGGATAAAAGACATATAAGTCATGATACCACAAAAATCTGTGTGGAAAACAGGCACTAAAATTTCAGATCTCTGTAGCAATATTTTTGCCGATGTATCTTCTAGGGCATGGGAAATAAAGGAAAAAATAGACAAATGGGACTACATTAAATTAAAAAGCAGCGCAGCTAAATCATCAAAATGAAAAGGGAACTGACTCTATGGGAGAACAGATTTGCCAATGATAACATTGGACAAAGGTTTAATCTCCAAAATAGATTAAAAAAACTCACATGAATCAACACCAGGAATACAAACAATCCAATTAAAAAAAGGCAAAGGACTTAAATAGACACTTCTCCAAGGAGGACATACAGAGGGCCCAGAGACATGAAAAAAAATGCCCAACATCACTAGCCATCAAAGAGGTGTGAATTAAAACCATAATGAGATTATCACCTCACACCTGCCAAAATGGCTATCAGTAAATGAACAAACAAGTGCTGGCAAGGATGTGGAGAAGAGAATCCTAGTGCACTGTTGGTAGGAATGCAGACTGGTGTAGCCACTGTGGAAAATAGTGTGGAATTTCCTCAAAAAATTAAAAATGGAATGGCCTCTTGACCCACCGATTCCACTGCTAGGAATATACACTAAGAATCCCAAAACACCAATTCAAAAGAATTTATGCCCCACTACGTTCATAGCAGCGTTATTCACAATAGCCAAGATTTGGAAACAATGTAAGTGCCCATCAGTAGATGAGTGGATAAGAAACCTGTGGTACATTTACACAATGGAACACTGCAGCCAAAAAAATAAGGAATTCCTGCCTTTTGCAACAGAATGGATGGAACTGGAGACTATTACAGTAAGTGAAGTAAGTCAGTGGGTCAAAGACAAATATCATATGACCTCATTTATAAGAGGAATCTAATGAACAAAATATACTAATGAGCAAAATAGAACCAGAGGCATGAAATCATGGAATAGACTGAAAGCTGTAAGAGCAGAGGGGAGAGATAGGGACTGACTGGAAGAAGGTGAAGGGATTGGTCAAAGAACATACATGAAAGACCCATGGACATGGACAATGGTGTGGGGGTTGACTATGGAAATGGGGGAGAGACTGAGTGGAGGGGGATGAAGGGGGAAAAATGGAAAAAATGTAATAGCATAAACAATAAAAAGTTAACTAAAAGAATATAGACAGGTAATGTACACAAGTGGAAAGTCCAATAAAAGGTGGAGGGCAGATGCCTACTGTCCCTAAACTTGGGGAGTCCAAAGATCAAAATTTGCTGCCACAAGGGGACATGAATTTTGCAGTAAGTAGCCTTTATAATAGTTTTTTTTAACCTATCTACCTACACATTTAATCACTAAAACAGGTGGCCAGAGATAGCAGAATGGTTAAAACTTAGACTGTAGAAGCATCAAGAGGATGAGAACATAGGTTGTCCTTTGACAGTCAGTCTTAAGAAAATTTGGGCCAGGAAGTCAAAAATTGAAAGCTGTCCAGAAAGCCTATACATGAAGACCATGTGAACCACTTAGAGCTAGGATTTTATTGGTTTCTATACCCATCATTGTAACTCTCCCAGCTTGTGTCAATCAACCACCCCAAGTTTATCTCCAATTCTGCAGCTTTATCCTGTCATGACCATAGCAAAAGAGGTCTAGTTTACCAATCCATCTATGAACAAAGAGCTGTTTACCCTTCAAGCAAGAACAGAGAAAAACTTTTTTTCACCCCCAGGGAAGCTGGAAAGATTATAGTGGTGTGCATTACCTGTATACAAGGCTAAGTCTCAAAATTTTATAGAAACGTTGAGCTGGTTAATACCATGTTGGTTGTTTGAAAATGCCGTGGTAGAGAAGTCAGCAAATGCTCCAAATTATTAAACATTTACCAGCACACCACAGGCTGACAGTGGATGGCCTCTGAAACTTTTCCAGCAAGTTTGACATTAAATATAAATGTGGCAAATGTCCACCTCCTGTGCCCACTCACCAATGTCATTTTCAGAGATAACATAGATGAAGTGGTAATACTTAGATTAATATTTCTTTTCCTTTAGTCAAATGTTCAAGTATAGCTTCAAAAATTATGTAATATTTTATATAAAAAATGATGTCAAGCTGCATGTATTCTGCTACTCGCATTATTTGCTCAATATTGAGACATCCATGTTGATACATGCAGCTCTAGATCATTTTTGTTATTTTACTGTATAAACAACTCTTTTCTGTTGAATAGTGACAGAGAGGCAAAAAGTGGTATCTTTCACTTATGTTGTAAGTGTACCAAAGTTTATATCGATATATCTGCTGAAGCACAGGATGACAAGAAAACTTTCTTAC